GACTGGTCTGACTGGTCTGTGGACTGGTCTGACTGGTCTGTGGACTGGTCTGACTGTTCTGTAGAACAATCTGACTGTTCTGTGGACTGGTCTGACTGTTCTGTGGACTGGTCTGACTGTTCTGTGGACTGGTCTGACTGTTCTGTAGAACAATCTGACTGTTCTGTGGACTGGTCTGACTGTTCTGTGGACTGGTCTGACTTAGCGAAACAAGGGCCATCACTTAATTTCATGGCTCTATGCCTGCAAACCCTCGTAGTGATCATAGCCGTTGTCCGCTGGACGACATGTCATATCGGTGTCATGGCGGGGATGTCTGCTGTGAGCCTTTAGCTGTAGCAGGTCTGTTGTAGCCGCTCACTGCTGAGCTGGGCGCTATAATGTGAATAGGTACACGTCCTCCAAACAGTAAATGAGTTTAAATATCATGTATTTCCTCTGAAAGAAAACTCCAGCACTTTAGTTTTGTTTTTATTTCCAAAACCTTCTGATGCCTTAACCACAGGGTGATACCCAGCCCTAATGGAGCCGATGGAGCAGTTCCTGGATACGGCCTTGATTCTGTGTCGCTACGGTAACTGAGTTACTAGCGGGACAACTTTGATGGTCAGAAAACACTTAATGGTGCTATGCTCCCATTGCTGCGGCCTGCAGGCCCCTCCGTCGTAGAAAGACTTCAGATCCCACAGAAAATCCTTCAGTTACTTGGTTCAACTCAAGTCTTCTGTAGCACGTGTCCTTCAAACCTCCGAGAGGTGTGTGACTGAGAGTGTAGCAGCGCAGCGTGTCGACCGGAGAGGCTTTTCCACAGCTCGGTGTGCGTGTGTGAGTGTGTGTTGTGTGGAAAGGTTCTTCCAGATATGAAACTGTTTAGTTCTTGTTTAGTTGAGTTTTTTATTTTGGGACCAGGTGGAGTTCTAGTTAACAGCAACTGTAGGATTCAGCTGTTTGCACACAGAGTTCTCGAGTCTACTTTCGCTGCTAGTTTGTGTAACTTATCAAGCATTTTTGAGAAATATTTATTTTTATAAGCCTAATACAAAAAGTTGATATTTTACAAAGTGACTTGACCAAAAGACAGTAAACAAAAACACTGGCACTTGAATGTTGAATGTCATTGGTATGAGTGAAAATTTCTATTTTTCTGGGGTAGTGTGAGCTTTTTAATGTTAAAGATGCAACGTGTGGGGGTTTCTCCTTCCATATGTCACTGGAACAAGCTGTGTTTACATGCAGGCGGCTTTGAAACGTACACTAACCGATTTACAACGAGCCGCTTGCACATCTCTTTACCAGGTTCATTCTCTGAAACGAACATTTGGCTCCAAGGGAAGGTCCTCGCTTCCTCGTCTGCATGAGCTGTGCTTGGCTTCACACTAAAATAACCCGACAACACTTTGCAATAAGTGCTCTGATATTTGTGTTTCCCGACACCGTCATCGGCTCAAAGCTTCCTTTTATTCAGGACTCACAAATGGGTGAAGTTACGGACGCTAGCATTTAGCCGTAAAGTACCTCACAGAGCTGCTCGCTTTCAGCATGACCAGGTGCCTTCCTTTTGTCGTTTTGTTCTGCAGTGTGCACGTGTATTCTGTGGTTCCTGGAAAATCAACATGACCTGCACATTTTAGTCAAAAATCAGCACGAGAGTCCGACCGATGCTGGATCATTTGGGCCGATGTTGATTTGAAGGAGTAAGAAGCTGGCGGTGAATCGGCCGATGTGTACATGAGTTCTGTTGTGAGGAGAAAATGATCATCGTTTGTTCGCTTCTCAGCAACATGTTTCCCTCGACTCCGCTACCTGCTCAGCTAGCATGCTCTGCTACATGCGCTGCACACGGTAGACGAACGTCGCCTTCATGTCTCTCAACCAGAAGACACAGACGAAGCGCTTCTTGTTGTTTTGCAGCTGCTGTGACTGTGACATATGAAGAGAAACGTCCTGCACAGGTTACCTTTAAAGTCACATTGGACTCAGTATCAGATCCACAGACCCGTTCTGCCGGCGGGTTCCATTGCCAATAACGATGATCGACCATAAACAGCCGTTTTTAATTGGCAGACAAATTTGAGAACAATGCCACCACATATGCCAAGGTTTGGATTAAAAAAAATAAAAATAAATTACAAAACGTTACGATCAAAGACCATTTTGTAAAAAACAAAAACAAAAAAACAAACAAACATGCAGTACAAAAAACAAGTGTCCAGATTCTCTCCAAGTCAGTTTACTTTGATTTCTTTTTTGGATCTTTACACTTCTCCTTCTCGTCGATACCCTCGTTGTGAATGTCTGGCAAGTGGCGATCTTTCAAGTCTTCATAACACAGAATTAACTGTGGTTCTATTGCTATGTTGTTGTGATTTGCATATTTTCAGGTGTGTTAGCGCTGCCACGGGGGCGCTTCTGGCCAATCAGAAACGGGGATCCATCCAGAAGTCTTTCACGTGACAAAAGAGCTTCTTTTTTTATTATTATCAATAAATTGCAGCTGATCAGTATTCATGTGTCCTGCATGAGGAGAATAAGTTTTACTGTCGGTCCACGAAGCACAGGCCCAGAAAACCCACAACCATCGACAGCTCTGTGTACGCAACAGCTTTCTGAAGTTCTTGTGAAAGGCCACTCTGGAAAACACTTGGCGGCTTTATTTCACGTTCAATCCGATTAGTAGGTGATCTAAAACATCTAAAAGTGTGTAGTTGTATTTAGGAACGATTGCTGTTTTAGAATTGAAATGAAATAACGGAGCGCGGTGCCGTCGCCGTTCCTGACTGGCCAGACCGCCCTCAGTGTGACCCGCAGCAGCGCCGCCCGCCTGCTAGTTAGTATTTGCTTTATGTATTAGTTTAGCAGTTGTGCACGAAGAGCACTGCACGAAGAAAAAAAAGAAGAAACTGTGCAACTATTCTGATTTTACCACAATTAAAGGTTTGGATTTGCAGATGTAATCAAGTGTCAGCGTGTTTTTGACGTTCTGGGACGAAAGAAAGTCGCTTCATTTGAAGTTTAATATTTAAAAAAACGCATCTGACTGGAAGCCGGCTGCAGGTTTTAATCATTATGAGTCTTTTTGATTCAGTCAACCCCAAAGTATTCATGCAAACGCCACATTTTGATTCATACTGAGTTCTTATATATCCAGTCGGTTTCTTCTTGCTGAAATTACCACAAAAAAAAAAACACACTAGAGAAGACATTCTGTTACATCCATCCATCATCTCTACACCTTAGTCCTCACCAGGGTCATGGGGGGCGGAGCCTATCCCAGCTGAGTCAGGGTGAAGGCAGGTTCACCTGGACAGGTAACCAGTCTATCACAGGGATATTGGATGCAGATGCAGAGAGAGTTCTTCCTGAAGGTGCCGTGGAAGCAGCACTTAAAGCTCAGTCACTGGGCTTGATTTGCTGAAACGTTCTGGGACCTTTAACGCCTGAACTGAACCCTGTGAAGTTGGTGGATGTGCAGTAAAAGATAAAACCGTGTTCGTGTCCAGAGAATCACTGAATAACATCAAACACCTTTTAATCTGAGCTGGTCGGCTGTTTAATGAAGTTCTCGGGTCACATTCAGCCCAAAACGAGTCAAACGAGCCGCGTCGGCCGAGTGTCCTGGTAAAGTGCGTTCAGGTCCTGTTGGTCCAACAATCATCACGTAGAGGCTGGTGTGAGCCGCGGCGCTAACTGAGGTTATGTGTTGGAAGCGTCGTCAAGCTGGATCTGGCTTCTGTCTGACCAGAAGTCTGGGTTCTCTCGGTACCATTTCACTGTAAGACACCAGAACCAGGAACAGACATTACTCAGAGAACCCTCGTCCTCCAGGCTCTCTCGTCGTGTCGTAACGCGTCGTGTGTTCGTACCAGTTTGTCGGATTCCTTCGGCCCAGGACACCTGAGCTCTCCAGCCGAGCTGCTGCAGCTTCTCGCTGGTGATGGGGTACCGCAGGTCGACCCGCGGCCTGGAGACGAAGGAAGATCAACTAAATCCAGACGTTATGTGAGGAGATTTGTCTCGATGGGATCATGAAAGAAACAGTCTCACAAAGAACATCTTGAACACTTCACTCACCTGTCGGGAACAAACTCGAGCCAATCACTGACCTCGTGGTCCGGTACGTCCTTCACCTGAACACAACACACAGTCAGATTTCTTTCTCACCACATCGGATCGGTGAGACTTGTTTTTATTCTCATGTGATTTTATTCTGAGCGATATCAGGCAGAAGAATCTCCTTCAGGACCAGTTCCATGTTGTCTTCAACCCACCATCCTAACGAGCTCCCGGGCCAGTTGCATGATGGGAACCTCGCAGCTCGTCCCCACATTGTAGATTTCTCCCACGGTCCCTTTCTCCAGCAGCAGCAGGAAGGCGTCGACGGCGTCGCTGACGAACAAGAAGTGCCGCGACTTGGGCAGCGTTCCCTGGATGGTGCTGAAAGAAAGACCGATTCATCCGATTGGCTTTATTTACATCAGATTAAAAGCTAAACCGGATCGTGAGCGACCTACCATTTCTGGTTCGTTTGTAAGAGGGTGAGAAACCTCGGAATGACCTAAAAGAAATAAAAATGTTGTTTCTTCAAAAGCTTTAAAGCACAAAGTTCAATTATTGGACTCAGTGTCAGGTGAGGTTTGTCTCAGCGAAGGCGGATCTCGCAGGTTTGCAGCTTCGGTGAGGAAATGCAGATTAAGTCCTACCTGCTTGTAACACAAATCCAGCCTCCTGACGGGTCAGAACCGTTGTTTCACAACACAAAGCTGCTCGATTTGTTTTCTCTCACCTTCTCGGTGAACTGCCGCGGCCCGTAGATGTTGTTGCTCCTGGTGATGATGACGGGAAACTGGCAACAGAGCAGCGCTGAATGAACAAAGACGATCCGAACGGACATCAACCCAATCAGGGCCCAGAAAGGGAACGAAACCAAGTATCTGTAGAAGCTAATGTGAGCTAATGTGCCAGAATCTGGAATCAACCTCGCAGGTTTTATCAACACTAATCACCATTATTCAGTCAGAAAAGAGTTTTTTTTGCCAATTTGTTTTGCTAAAGTTGTAAAAAACTGGAACCAACGTGTGCACAGGTGTTGGAAATAAACCAGGAGCTCTACACACGATGGATGTTTTACTACTTTTGTTCTCTTTACTCGGTGAAAACGCTGCCGAGTGGCTCGTTCGTTAACATTTTGTGTAAATGAAATACGTCACAGTTTAAAGCTCAGATTCGATTCATTTTTATTTGAGTAGTTCAAAGACCGTTGGAAAGCTGAAGATCCATTTTGTTGCTTTTTGAAAGAGAACAGACCTGCTGCTCACCTGGTACTGGTCCCAGTACGACCTGACCAGATACTCTGCGGCTGCTTTGGTGGCAGCGTACGGGTTGGACGGCCTCACTGGACTGGTCTCGTCAAACACCTGCAGAGGAAAACATACGGGTCAGATTCTGATGCGTGAAGACATCCGGCAGCCCGACGGAACCACGACGGGAGCCTGCACCTGGTCCAGGCCGGCTCCGTACACCTCGTCGGTGCTGACGTAGACGAAGCGCTGAGGCGGGTGTCGGGCCTGACGGGCGGCTCCCAGCAGCGCTCTGGTCCCGTCCACGTTGACCCGCTGGAAACTGGACGGAGCTTCGAACGACGCCTCTGACGGGAGAGAGAGAGAGAAGTGAAACCCGATTCTGGCAGCAAGTCGGTCCGAACGGCTGCTGCTCACCGACGTGGGTCTTGGCTGCCAGGTGGAAGACGACGTCGATGTTTTCTGTGCTGAAGACGTGTTTCAGCAGCCGCGAGTTGCACACGTCGCCCTGCGAAGACACGAGTCCCTGAACCGGTTCAACAGACACCACAAAAGACTTTAAAGTGGCCGTGAACTGCTTCTCACCCTGATGAACGTGTAGTTGGTTCTGTCCTCCACGGTCTCCAGGCTCCTGAGGCTGCAGCAGTAGTCCAGCTGGAGCACAAAACAAAACCCAGGTTCATACGACATCAGCGCCACCACACAGAAGCCAGCAGCCAGAGCAGACTCACGTTGTCCAGGTTGATGATCCTCCAGTCCGGGTGTCTGCTGACCAGCGAACACACCAGGTGGGAACCACTGAAAGAAAGAAACGAGTTTCACGTCTGTCCAGCAGCTTAACAGCCAACAAATGTCGATCCAGGGTCCAGGAGTTTCTTTATAGGTGTCAGAATATCAGTAAAAATAAAATAAAATCAATCCCCAAACCCACTGTTTTACTTTAAAATAAAAAAAGGAAAGATTAGTTTTAAAATTGTCCCAAAACTGCATTTTGTTGATGTTTTTTATTTACAAAAAAAGAATAATTATTTAATAACAGCCCAGGTTTTGACTTTTTTTGTTTGTTTCTAATGATGATTTAAATTTTTTTTTAAAATAGCCCCAGATTTAAAAAAAAAAACAAAACTCTTTAATCTCAGTGTTTTTGGGTTTTTTCTTCTTTTCACAAATGAAATAAATTTTCTCTTAAAATGCTCCAAGAACTATTTCCTAATTTTTTTTTTAAGGTTTATTTTAATTCTACACAAATGTACGCTGAGATATTAGATTATCGTTCGTAAAAGTCTGAGATGTGTTTACTACAGTCAGCACAGTTTATTGTTTTATTGTGAGGTCAGTTATCATCTGTCCAGTCAGCAGATTGTTTCTGACTGTGTGCTGTTTGTTGTATTAAAGCTGTAAAACATCATAAATGAGATTAACTCCACAGACCTGAGATTTAAAGGAAACCTCATGGATTCACTTTTATCATCACATTTTGTCTTGTGTTTGTTCTGGAATCACGTGACTGTGGTGCTCCTCTTGTCCAGTTTACAGTCATGATGCAGAAACACTGCGTCTGGGCCGATCAGAACCACAATAAATGTGGAAACATAAGACTGTCATAAACATGAGCCTCACATGTAAAATAAAGTAATTCTGTCCTGTGTAAAGTCCCTTAAAGCTGAAACCAACCGGATGTGTTGGTAGATATTAACTGTGGAAGCTCCATTCAGCAGACAGGTTTCACTCCATCTGGACCGAGTCGGAACAACAGAATCCTGTGAAAGTTTCGTGCTGTTCGCAGCAGAAAAGCTTCCGTTTGGGGACCTGTGCTGCTGTTTCACTCAGACTCACATGAATCCGGATCCTCCGGTCACCAGAACCGTCCTGGTAAAGTCCATCCTCTGCTCCTTCGGCCCGCCTCACACGAAGCTCCCCTCTGGACGGACTCACCGCATCTTGCTCGTTCTTTCCTCCGCTGACGAGCAGACAGTCTGACAGAACGCCGCTGCTCCGCTCACCGCTGTTTACTTCCGTACAGTCGCTGCTTTGTTTGCTGCGCGACAGTCGCGGCTCGTTTACGGCAGTGTTGACACGTTGAAAAGGGGCTGGACGTCAATACGCACGCAGACTGGTTTCTACGCTCTGATTGGCTGTCGAAATATGACGTGAGGGCGTAGGCGCAGTTTGATTGCGTGAAGCCCAAATCAATCAAACTGTCAACGGTGCCGACTGATGAAGGCAGCAGAGTGAAGCTGGATGAAATACATATGCAACATCCGGATGTTTTCTCCAAAATAAGAGTGTATTAATTCACACGCTGCAATCTTTAGATTTTAATTGCACAATTTTCAAGCTATTTTAGAGCAACATTATGATTAGGATCGTTAGTTTTATTTATGATTTATAATTAGGACTCAGCAATATGCATAAAAAAGGAATATATTCACAGAATGCAACTGCAATATGAGCAATGTTTTGCCTTCTTGGTGTGGTTCGTACTAAATAGGAATATTTCTCACATGTAAACCTCGGTTGTTTTTTTTAAATTTCTTTATTTATTTATTTTTAAAAATCTGGCTGCAAAATAAGAGGTTCACACCAAATACTGAGATGACTGATATTTACCATCTCAGAATAATTTAATTTAAACATGAAATGTATTCATGCATATGTACTTATTTTATTTTATTTTTTGTATTTGACAAAGTTTATAGTTTTGTTTTGTTTTTTATGTGTTTAACAAAATTCCCGAAATTGAACCAAAAACCAATTAAATAATCTTTGATTGTTGTTTTTACCTCAATCAAACAATAAAAGCTATTTACAATAAATTACGAATTATTTTCATGGTTCGTGGTCCTTCAAAATTCCTAAAATTGCATTTAAAATGTCTGTTATCATCCCATTAAAATGCTGCATGCAAGTAGCTGATGGTCATCATTAAATGATGCAAATTAATTAATTTTGAAGAGGAAAAAAAAAGAAAGGATTCGGTTTTACAGCAGAAGCATCAAAGTTGAGTTTTGCAGAATGTATGTTTGGAACATTTTGTCGTGATATAAATGAAAAACAGCCGTTAGATTCTTATTTCTAAACTGATAAACTGTGACTTAGCTTTGGGTGCATTTTTTGTATCACTGAAAAAACTCTTGATGCTCAAAGAAAAGAAAAGAAAAGAAAAGAAAAGAAAAGAAAAGGCCAGAGTTTGGTAAATGGGTTTAAATAATATAAGAACATATCTGTTAACAGCTAATATTTGGATTTTATGTCAAATATATTAGAGATACGTGGAATTGTTTTTAAAATACTTCACATATATGTTTTATATGTGTAGCCTATATGAACAACCTAGTCATTATTTTATTTTATACTGATTAATTCCTAGTATAACTGCTCTGTGTGTGACATTCTGAGCACCATTTCGTTCATGCACTCCCACAATCAGCTTTATTTTGAGCGCAGAAACCTCCAACTTCCGGTGCGAGCCTGTCTCACTGCGGCCGCCTTGACGCAGCTGCTTCACTTCTGGCTTCGTGGCTCATTGAATCGATCAGCCGCCGTTCGCTGGTCGATAACCGCGCAGTGAGGCTGAGATGTCGCGTTTGTGGGCCACGCTGGCGGCGGTGGTGGTGCTGCTCGGCTCGGAGGCTGCCGGTAAAACGGTGACGGGACTTCTGAGGAGCGACGCGGCGCGACGGCAGAGCGGCCAGTTCATCGCTAAATTCATGTTCCAAGGTACCGCCGCGGTGGACGTGTCCGCTGCCCGCCGACACTTCGCTCATTCCTCTTATTTAACATGGCGCCTGGACCCTCCGCTCGCTGCTGGCTTTGCTTTTATTTCTCCGTGTGTGTGACGAACGCGTCACTTCATCTGCCAACATCTGCACTGATTTTCCGACTCGACCAACCTCCGCTGTGACTTCGTGTCTTTCTCACATTCGCCCGCAGCAGCAGCAGCATCACCTCTTTTCAACTCCTCATCCTCTTCTCTCTTTTCTTTCTTTTCATGTTTTATCACGTTTCTTGATGTGTTACGAGCTGCTGCCCGCAGATCAACATCCGAGCTGCATTTAATGAGAAGAAATTAGAAGAAAACCCGACTTAAGTTATCGTCTCCTCCACGAAGCGAGCCACACTCCGCACATTTGAGCTAAAAGAAAAACACGCATTTTTGCACTAAATGCGCATGCTGTGTCACTGTAATGGTCGCCGAATTGGAGAACAGCGCCCAAAGATGCAGTCAGTGTTTAATTACTAGCGAGCTCAATTGTATTTCATGACAAACGAGGAAAATTTAAAAGTGGCAGACTTTTAAATGAAGCCTGGTGTGGAGGTCTGACTCGACCAGGTTCTCACTTTACTTGAATCAGTTACAAAACACTGTTCAAAAACAGTCCGTTTTTTGATTATTGAGGAACTACCGTCAATACTTGGTTCTGATGTCAGTGCAGCTTGTTTTACGGTTGTTTCCAGAGTTTCATGAAGCTGTCACGGTGGAAAAATGGAGTTAATTTCGGTGTTTTTCTGATGGAGCTCTGATGAGGGTCATGTGTCCCATACATGTTGATGTCATTCTGGATATTTAGAGTCTTAATATCCAACAGAAGTCCCTTTAAGCACATGAGTAGATAACCCAGGAGGCCATCACCGTGCTGCCCCTGAAATACAGTTTTATAAAGTCCTGCTCGACCACAGCTGGAGAACTTTAAAACTTTTGAACTTTAAAATGAAAAACAAACAACAACAAAAAGCCCCACGTGTGTTCATAGCACTGGGAGATAAGACGATGGCTCTACATGCTGTAAACACTGCATTCCCTGTTTGCGGGTTTTGATCCGTCTCCTCTCTGCTGTGGAAACCTTGAATCCTGGTCCAGGTGGCAGCGGCCTGCTGGTGTGTCGGCTCGACAACTCGGCTCTGGCTGCAGAGAAGGAGTCCCGACTGCTGCTGTACCAGGACATGGACTCGGACCTGGACAACCTGAGCTGCTCCGACAGGCTCACTAAAGCCCATTTCACCGGTAAGAGCCGGCTGACACGGCGCCGACCTCTGCTGCGACCGACATATTGATTTGTTCTCCTCTTCCTTCAGTGTCTCTGAGCCAAGAAGAACACAACCAGACGATCCCCCGCCAGCCGTCGCCCACGGCCTGGCAGGTCCTGTACGCCGACAGATACACCTGTCAGGTAGGAGACGCTCACAGAAACACAGCGTAGGTTGGAGGAGGACGAATCCTGAGTGGATGTTTTTGATCAGCTGAGTGGGTTTGAGTTCCAGTTAAACCGGCAGAAAGAAAAGCAGCCGGAGTGGAAGTACTGTCGACTGTTAGAGGCACGTTTTCCATCACTGTCATAAATCTACGTTTTTATTCTCACCTAAATTAAAAAGCCAAACCAGAGATGCTTCACTCGTTAAAACACAAACACAGTCGTGACTCGATAATCCGACACTAAATGTAAAACCTTCTTCTATGTTGGATTGTCCAGACGGAGGTCCAGATACGAGGAGGGCTTGATGCTGGAAGGATCATTAGTTGTTCATTATTGTTCATAGTTGTTATAATAACTAGTAGGGCTGGTCCCAGTAGAACTTTATGGGCTCAGTTAATGATGAATAGCTGAATATTCGGGGCAGTCGGGGGACACTTCCACCCCGGGGCAGCGCTCTGACGGGGTGGAAGTGTCCAGAACACACAGGCAGTACTTGGCTGCTGATGCTAGTTTAGTTAGCGCTCACACTTCTGTTTCCTCCATCGGTGGCGGCGGGGGAGTGGCAGATACGCTCCACCGTTACCATCCATGTTTACTTCCATAAACACTGAGCACGCTCGCTGCGTGTGACGTCGTCGTGTCCTCTTCTGCGCATGCGGGACACTTTTGGCTCGTATGAAGTTCACACAGCAGATCACATACAAGTCGCATTGAAGTGGAAACGTGAAGGAAGTCACAAAGAAATCCTCATTGAGCATCAAGTCCTGCAGTGTGAACGTAGCCAATCTGTGGGATTGTTCAGTCAGATAATACGCCGTCATCCTGATTGGTGACATTAAATGTCATGTCGGAGTCACAATCCAAGGCTGTCGCTATGTTAAGGCTGTTTTTATGGGTTCTGTTGGTTTTTCCTACAAACTTGTCGGACAGCAGGTTTAGGATTGTTAAGGGTCGATTATCGGGTCATGACTGTAGTTCATCATTTTCTGCTCGTTGTCCAAACAGAAGTGAACTCCACCATCAGCGGGTTGATGAAGACAAACATGGCCGCGTTCACGTTGATACTCCACCAATAATCGGTACAGGAGCCAAATCAGAAGTCAGTGGGTTCAGGCGGAGCTCAGACGTGTCTTCTGTGTGACGCAGTTCAGATCCCGTAAAGAAGAACATTTGAAGCACTGGGAGTCGTGTTGTGCGTCATTTTGTTCACAGATGTTTCCGTCAGACACACGGTCGACGTGTCACTGCTGGTCTCTGTTTTATAGAAACATTCAGTCTCGTATTAGAATGAGACCAGCGTCCTGACTTTAAGCCTCATCGAGGAGGATCCGATCAGCACCAGCGCTGAGTCCGATTGAGACGGGAAACGTTCTAATGTGGCGGTCCAAATCAAGTCTTGTTGCCGCATGTTCCGGTCCAGATGCTCTGTGGGAACGGACCGGTCCAACTCGGTCAGTTTCTTCCACTGAATTACTAAAGTTTTTGTTTTTTAAATAAAGTTTTTTATTGAGAGTGATCCTAAACACACTTGAACATATATAAAAATTGTTCCGGCTTCGATGAGGCTGATTAATCAGTGAAATATCTCCGATTGTTTCTTTAATGCCACGATTTGGACTCATGGAATCAGACGTTCATTTTGTTCTGCCTTCACCTGATGGATGTCTGCATTTCTTCTCTCTACTAACTGCTTGTGTTGGCAGCAGCGTGGGTGAAGAGCCACGCCTGGGACAGTAAAGCTGATCCTGAACCAGCAGTCCAACACTCAGGCAGCCGTTGGTCCTTAGAAACACCTGAATCCTCTTGATCCTGAGTGGAGGCCGACTGATCTCGTGTGCTTCTCGTCTGTTTTCAGGACAACGCAGTGATTCCCTCTCACGCTGATCTCACCTTCACCGTCCTGCTGCTCAACGCCGACTCCGCCGGAAACCCTCTGGAGCACTTCAGTGCAGAGGAGGCAGGTCAGACATCCGGCTCGCTCCGGAAACACAGAGGAGGAGCTAGAAAGTGTGTGTGATGGCACGAAAGAGAAGTCAGTGAAGTGGCTGGTGTCGTCACGGTTTTCTGTTTTTGTTCTGAATCCGGTGAAAGCAAAGAGTTCATTTGTTTTTGACTCTGCCTGGATTTGGTTCGTTTTTCTGACGAAGCGTTTTTAAAAGACAACCTGAGACTGGAATGACATCTCCTGATTTCAACCTGATTAATTAACTGAGAGACTCGTGCTGCTGCTGATTGGTGCGTTATGACAGGATGAGTCTCCGGTTTGAGTCACTTTGGTGCCTTTTGTTTTCCTTAGTTGAAGGCAGCAGGTCTTTTAAAGGCGGTGGCTCAGGCGGTGGAGCAGCTCGTCCTCTGATCGTCAGGTTGGTGGTTCCATCCCTCCTCAGTCGGAGGGTCTTTGGGCAACACGCTGAACCTGAAGTCGCCCCCTAACGGCAGGCATTAGTGTATGAATGTGATCTACTCTCAGATGTACGTCAACGAGACGTCTCACTACCATGGACTCGTTGTGATTGTAGTTCTTCTGGACTCTGGTTCTGTTGCCCTCATCTGTAGCTACGGTGTCATGTGTTTGGTGTTGTTAGCGCTGAAGGTTCCTCCGGGCAGGCTGTCCTGTTCTGGGTGTCGGCCGCACAGCAGCGTCTGCGTGTTAAGTTCATTTAAACGCTGAGTTGTTTTGTTTTTTTTTTGTCTTGTTTTTGATTCCTTCCAGTAACATTAAGTGTAAAGAAAAAAAGACAAAAGGAATGAAATCAGCTTTGGCTCACAGCTTCCTGGTTGCACCGAATGTAGATTAAAGGGACTGAGATGAGATTTCACAACTTTCAGGTTTGCTTTCCCGATGAAATGTTTTTACAGATTCTAGCTTTGACAAATGGGGCAGTTTTTTGTTTTTATATATATAGACGACATGTTTTCAAAGCTGCTCGTCTTTTGGGGTTCAGATGGTGAATATTAGCAGAGAAGCTAGAGAAATGAACGAGGTTGAAACGCTCCTTTTACACGTCCCGTATGTCGCGGTTATGACTTGTTAAAGATGTCGGGATGGTCCTGAGGGGTCTGCACCGTTAACGTGGCCGTTTCCTCCCTCAGGGCTGCACAGTTTCTACTTCCTGCTGCTGCTGGCCTACTTCATCGCCGGCTGCATCTACGTCCAGCCGCTGTACCAGGCTCTGAGGAAAGGGGGACCGATGCACACCGTCCTCAAAGTCCTGACCACGGCGCTGGCGCTGCAGGGCTGCTCGGCCCTCTGCAACTACATCCACCTGGCCAGGTAGGCTCCCTGGACACCGGCTCGCTCTCCAGCTGTTTGAAACGCAAGGAGAACAAAAGCACGGTTCACGATCCAAACTGGACTTTCCTGATGCCGTAACACATCCGTTTATTTTCACCTTAAGTCTCATTAAGTCTGTGTGATTAAAACTCAGATCTGTAATTTAATTTAAAAATATTAACCACAAAATTCTGTCTTTGAAAGAATCGCCAAAGTGGCACCGGTTAGCGCCAGGAACGGACCAAACAGATCGTTTATCGTGTCTGGCTGTCAGAGAGCCTCTAAGTCTGCGCTCAGTGTGCTGTTTTATCAACGCCACGTTATTTCATTTCAGAACTGGTCAAAATTAAACCAGATTCTGTAGAAATGGAAGAGTTCTGCATCCGTTGGCACAAAGTCAAGAGTGTCAAATGTTCTGACGCTTTCTGGCTGCAGCACGGAAATAAATGAAATGTTTGTGGTAGAATATCTGTCCTGCTTCGTGGTTGTTCTGGTTCCACAGAGCTGCACAGCTTGTGACAGGAACTTTAAAAAAATAAAGGACTCCCAGAAGCCACTTGGAGCTCAGTGGCTTCCATGTCAGAGTTTTTACGCGTGGGGCTGTTGACAGCGTTCAGCTTCCTGTTCCTGTCGCTCGTGTTCTCTGGTCAGCTGCTGCATTCGTCCTCAAAGACAACCTGAAGCAATGCGTCTGTGTTTGTGTCTCTGCAGGTATTCCAGAGACGGCGTCGGCCTCCCCCTGATGGGCAGCCTGGCAGAGTGTACGTCTTCTCTAAATGTCTTTCCATCTGTGTTTTCATTCAAGTCGCTCACATGAACTCTGAAGACGGTTCCCCGCCGGCCGTCTCAGAATCATCTGCTTCTTTATCTCCAGTCGCTCCGGTGTGTTAATGAAGCCACGCTACATGTTCAGAGTTAGTCCCCTGAAGCACACAGAGGTGCATCATTTCTGAGCCCTGAAACTTCAGCAGGTGACATTTTTTAAGCTGAAAAACACATTTAAGTTCTGGTTAAAAACTGCAGCCAACTCTAGTGTTCTTCCACTGAGTCTGTCTGAGCTGCTGAAGCTACGAGGCTCAGAACTGATGGAAGCTGTGAGGAGAGCGGCGGCGGCGGGCGCTCGTCACATACGCTGTGTTGTTGTTGTACATGGAAGGCTCTGCCGGTACAGTTCAGATGCAGGTGCACCAGAGTGTTTGTTTTTGCCCCGTTTTCACACAATGACGGTTAGAAATGTTCCCCGTCACCGTGGCTGTGGTCCTGCTGGACAGGTTCAGCTCCTGCTGGAGACGGAAACATCCTTCTGTTGGTCTGCCAGGTTTAGAGACAGCGCCGCCTCTCTGTGTGACGTAGCGTCTTCTTGTCCCTCCTGTGCAGTCTGGGACATGGTGTCCCAGGTGTCCATGCTCTACATGCTGCTGAGTCTCTGCATGGGCTGGACCCTGAGCCGGGGCAGGAAGCCTCAGTCCAGACCTCTGCAGTGGGAGCAGTCTCCGGCCTCCACGGCCGTCGCTGTCGGCGGAGTCATCGCGCAGGTACGTAGGGACTCGATGCTGGCCACATGAGAGCGACGTGGTTCAGGCTGAAGGAGAAATGAACCCACTGTGTGTTTCAGGGAGTGCTGCTGCTGTGGGAGCAGTATTCAGAGTCGGAGAGCGAACATCACAGCTTCCACGCCCAGCAGAGCCTGGCCGGCCTCCTCCTCATGGCTCTGAGAGTGGGCCTGGCCCTGCTGCTGGCCTCCATCCTCTACCAGATCATCTCCACCGAGAGGAGCACCCTGAAGAGGGACTTCTACCTCAGCTTCGCCAAGGTAAGCCCACGGAGCTCTGACGCCTCCACACGGCAGCTGCTCAGGTGGTCACGTGCTGCTGCTTTGCTCTGTGCAGGGATGCTTCCTGTGGTTCCTGTGCCACCCCGTCCTCATCCTCACGTCTGCCATCTTCAACGAGCACCAGAGAGAGAAGGTCTGAACGCACAGCACACATGTTGTAACGGGTCTCTGCTTCATGCCGATTAGAACCAAAACACAACCGATCCTCAACCATCTAATCACTCACTGGTGATGTGCTGCCGGCCGTCGCTCAGTTTCACTTTTTTCTTGTTTTGTTTTTTTTTGTCCAAAACATCTGAATGTTGAACCGTCTGAGCAGTTTCTGGGCATTTGTTTGCTTCTGTCACACGTTTTGTGGAGAGAAGCTGAAGATGACGGCTGGTCGCTGATGATGGCGTCACAGTCGAATGCAGAATCATTAGATTTTTACAGAATCTGGTGACAGAAAGAAGTTTATTTTAAAATGTGACCTGCAGAATGAAGTGATTCTGAGGAAATATTACGACTTTCAGCTTCGATTTGGGACGATATCCAACCAAAGCTGAAGTCTCTGCTGCAGTAAATCCTGTAATTTGTGCAGATGTGAACTTGCATTTCAAAGCTGGCAGCAGGTTTTGGGGTTCAGAGGGTTGAACCGGCTGAACACGTCTCTGATTCTGCGTTTACACATTTCACTGAGCTGAGAGTGCGATGAGCTGAAAGTCGTCTCTAACTCGTCTTCCCGCTGTTCAGGTGGTGACGATCGGCGTGATCCTGTGCCAGTCCATCTCCATGGTGATCCTCTACCAGCTCTTCCTGTCCCGCTCTCTGTACTGGGAGGTGTCCTCTCTGTCCTCCGTGTCCCTGCCGCTCACCATGTCCAGGAGCAACCACAGGGGGCGCTACTGAGCACCGAGGACCTCCTGTGACGCTGCAGGGACGCTTCTCCTGCGACAGCCAGAGGGCGACGCTTACAGCAACATCCTACCTCCAGCTGCAAACGGTGAGCGGGACCGGGAGCCGGTTTGACGCAGGACGGACGCGGATCCGAATGAAGACAGATGCTTCACGACGTCAGGAAGCAGCGGTTCAGTTAGATTCACGACGTGGAGCTTCAGCAGGGATTGAAGTGAGCCGGGGCAAAGCTGCTCCGTTTGCCAAAGAGACGCTTCGTAAGATGGAACAACTGTGACTGGAGGCTGGAGGTGATCCATGACCTCACGCTGTCGGCAAACTCCATGAAAAGGCCAAAACCAAGAACACGCTGCTTTCTGAACGACCTCCAGCTTCTGCTATTCAGCAGTCGTTGGTCTGGGACTGCTTTCAGCTGCGAAGGAACACACATGTCCTCGTGTGGGACTGAGCGCTCGTCATTATGTTGTTGATAGTTTTCGTTGGACTTGGGGCTCTGAGTCCACAGCAGGTTGTTGGTTTTGTTCTTGGTGGTTTCAGATGACGATGGACTTATCTGGCCTTTGACCACGAGCCAAAAAAAGTCGCTTCACACGCGAGCTGTGCGTTGAGTTGTTTCTCTGGGGATTTATTTATGAGCAGACTTTGCTGAACCTTTGACCTCTTGCATCCTGTAGCTGAAAACATACTGCATGACTTATTTTTTTAATCTCTGAAAGGAAAATCAGGAGGAACCGAAGTCGACGATGGCTGAATCCCACCGTGTAAATACATTCCAAGCCTTCAGTGGTGGCGTACCGGAGCCCAGAGGGACGCTGACGCAGTTCAGATGATGAAAACACGAACACGGGAGTCCCACGTGAACTGACGGCTCATATATTTATTCAATTATTTATTTTTCCGAGTGAATACTTGGAGAGCAGCACACTACAAACATCAAGGGTTTTGTACAGCTTCATGTCTGACTTCAGTGTTTCAATATTCACGTCCACTTACTTCCTCGTGCAGCAGGTAATAAAGATTGAAAACAAACCTGATGGAAGACGGCTATGATTGGTTATCATGTGATCAAAGCCTCTGCACTGTTTGACTTCATGCAGCTTTATTGGCTGATGGTGAAACGTGGGTGAAAGCTTTAAAGAAAGCAGCCAGTTCGTGGGCTTTGAGTTGTCCTGAGGAGTTCGTTTTAACCCTCTGAACTCTGAGCACCTTCTACTTTTGACTGTGAGCTCTTAATCACTCCAACATGAAGTCCTGCACCTCCACGGACAGCATGCAGCGTGACACCGTCAACTCAGGAAGATGGGACAAAAAACACCGTTTTTATTTCATTATTTATGGAACAAAAATCGATAAAACCTGGAATCAGCATGTAGTCGTTTCATTTTGATATTTTGCGACTTATATTTTAAGTTCCCTGATTTTCTGTCATCGCTCGTGGCTTCACAGCAGCACCAAAGAGCACACAGTCAGTTAGTAAATAAGAATAACATCATTTTAATGAAGTATCACAGTTCTGAGCGTCGGTTTGGTCCGTTTTCCCACCTGACCCATACGTGACGACTTCAACAACTGTTTTGCGGTTTGTTTCGATGGTAAATCGCGCCATTTCACCTGTAGATTTTGGGGATCAGAGGGTTAAAAACTGATTCTCTCAGATGGATTGTTCATGTTTCAGAACCAGCAGCCGGCGCGTGCTCGTACAAAACATGGACCCGCCTTGGTGAACGTTGCTCAGCAGCACCGACAGCGGTCCAGAACTCCACAGGTCAAAAATGCACTTTGATGCTCAGCAGTTTGAGGACACAACGATTCGCTGGACCCCACAGCTTACCCAAGGTGCACACGAGAGTTGAATGTGCTGGAACCTTGTGAGAAAGAACGATGCTGAGCCACTGGCAGGACACGAACGATGAAACGCCGTCAGCTCCACGTCATACCGGAGCATCGGCCCCCGTGGACGGCTTCTTGGTTTTATTCTTTCCCACAGTGACAATCCTGTGAATGCATGTTTGCCCTTAAACTGCTCGACACAGTTGCGGTTTAACGACTTTTTTTTAATGTACAATGTTCACATCTCACACTTGAGTTGCATATTATTGTTTTTTTTTTATAACCTGTGGAAATGTGATGAGGCCGGCTGTAGGAGTTGTAATAAAATGCATTTCACAGAAGAAAACTAGCAAAACCACATTGTTTTCTTTCTCGGGTTCGGCAGACATCACCTTATGAAGCAATCTGATGTTTTCAGGTCTGAACATGAGTCCAGTCGGAGTCCGATGTCCTCGGTGACATATGTGGAGCAATAAAAGCCGGCAGAGTGTGGAGTAACGGTGGCACAGGGAATGAGGACCAGAAATGTTCAGTGTGCCTCCGCAAGTGTTTAAATCCATCATGACACACAAACACACAGGATGGAGTGACTCATCTTTACATTTCCAAAGTGTCTCAAACGAATCAAATCCAGTTCAGTCGCATGTTTCAGGTCCTCTGCTTTATGTGACGGCAGACCAGAATAAATATATTCATCATCAGTCTTTGTTTCTGTCGCACCTTCCTTTCAAAACCAGAGTTACAGCAAAACAGAGCAGGAGAGACAAACAAACAAATGACAAAAAACCCAAAACAATCAACAATAATAAAACAGACAAACAAAAATTATTGTAAACAGCAGCATCCAAAAAGTACAAGAAAATAATTAAGTAAAATGCATGTATATGTGTATGTGTGATATATAAAATATATAAGACACAAAACAACAGTAAAACATTAGAAATGACAAGGCATGAGAAAAAGCAATAAAACATTAAATAATTACAACAAAACATGACAAACAACAGAAGAAAAGAGTAAAAACCAAAAACAGAATATTGGAAAAGACAATACAACATGACAGCGCGTCAACAAAGCATTAGGAAAAGAAAACATGAAAAAACGACAGTAAAACGTGAGAAAAGCCAAGAAAAGCGAAATCTTACCAAACAAGAATCAACCATGAGAAAGGACGAGAAAAAGTGAAGAAATGGCAACGATTAAAAAAATGCTATTTAAATTATGCAAATGGAGTCTGTGCAGGCGGGATTTGAAACATTAATCTATGCTTTGCAGCGACTAAAAAACAAAAGTCAGCATATACACGACATTAGCTTCGTCTTCTCGGTCAAAACAAGAATATTTAAAATGTTTAACCTCCCAAAGATATAAATTAAATTTCGTCACGAACAGGATTCGAACCTGTGCGGGGAAACCCCATTGGATTTCGAGTCCAACGCCTTAACCTCTCGGCCACCGTGACTACGCATGTCACGTCTCACACCAAGTTGTCATATAAGTCAACACATGGACTGATACGACGTCCAACATGTTGTTGGATTATAATTAAAACAGGTTGTCAAGAAACGCTGCGCAATTGCAAGTAATCTGAAGCCAGCGATATTAAACGTGTCTTTAACTTCCGAGTCCGTTTCTTGAATCTGAATCCTGCGCGAACAGCAGCTGTGCAAGTGAGCGACATTTTAGCCACTTTTCTGGCTCTTTTCAGGGCAGGGAGAGAAAACGAAGGACCGACTTCACCGCAGCTTCGTGCTGATGAAAACACAGACAAGCAGCATCGTCGTTGCAGCTGCAACAGTTCTCCAAGCTAACCAGTGTGAGTCCAGCTAACCAGCTAGCTAACCAGCTAGCACGGTGAGAGTCTCAAACTCGCCTCATGTGTGCAGTTTCATATCTTCCGTGATTTTGGTCTTGTTTTTTTCCCCCACCTCGATAAGGATATCCTTCCAAGGTTTTCCCACTTTCCAAGCTAGCTCAACTCGGTCTGTACTGAACAAAAATACTCATGCAGCATGTTTTATGAAACTGTAGTTTTAAAAATGACATTTACAAAACTCAGCCATAACATCCCAGTCCACAAACAAAATCTTCTACACAATCCAAGTCCACAGACCAGGAAGCATTTTCACACTTTACACTAAAACTACTTTGGATTGGATGTGAAGATGCGCATACAACACTTTCTGGCTTCTGCAACGATATAATTATCAATACTTTTTGTAAGTTGTTTAGAATTGTAAAAAGCTAAACAAAATTTATGTTATTAAAGTTTTACAACATATACTACTGTATTGTAAACATGGTGAAGGATATATTTACTGATGCCAGAATATTCGAGGAAGTCCTCGTGTGCCGAAGGTAATGATGCATTCAGTGTTGGTGGGAAAAGCTACAATTGACAAAAGTTATCCGATAACGTGATAATTCATCAAGCTGAACATCCAGTTTTCCGCATGTCTTATCATCAGAATCACATCTATCACCACGCAGTGACGATAAATGAAAACTAGAGAGGCTGACACCGAAAGATCTGTCTCTAAACCTAACCTTTGAGTGTGGATGGTGCTTTGTCCCATGAACTTAGAATGCAGCACAGATGACGTCCAGCAGATGTTGCGTTTCTATTGGCTCGCCAGTGTAAGCCCCGCCTCCTCACAACGAGCATTAACAGCGGTCTGGCTGTCACAGTGAACACGGACTGCAACATCACAGGAGCGAAAATGATCAACTTTAAGGTAAACAAGCCGAAAATTCTTGTTCAGTAGATGCTAAAGTCACGTTTTATCATCTCTGTAAAACTGTTGTTTTCTTTTGGGCTCTTATTTGTTCCTAATTCGTCTCAGTCGTCACTAGCATGAAGCTAACGCTGCTACACTGACTCCTCATCTGGAGCAACAAACGGCACATTTAGCCAATTACAAAGTTTAGCATCGTTACACTAAACAGTAGAAATGACTGTCATGTCAACTTTCTGTTTGTTAAATTTGTTGACGTTTTGATGTGTGAGCAGCTGTGAACAACCAGGTAGTGACATGTACACCGTTATGTGAACACTGCTCAGACTTCAGTTGGAAAATGCGTTTATATTAACGCTAGAAATGAGTTTAGAGGAACAAGTAAAACAGCAACAAGAGCTGAAAATCTGCTGGAACAAAGGTCCCTGAGTGAACTGCATTCATGCCGAATTCCAGCGTGATCTGATGCAGTTAGATGACCTGTTATATGGAGCACATGTTCAGTGAGGATGTGAATGAATCAGACATTTGTTGGGTTTTTATTGAGCTTTGGGAATAGAAGCTGTGTGACCTGTTAGAACTACAAGCCCAGAGTGCACATGGCATGCAGCTGCTTCTCTCTTTCACGCGTCACCTCTCCTCTCTGTGACCAAATTAACTCCCATGAAGACAGCTGAGGCCCCTGGTGGAAATGAGGGAGGGGGAGGAACATCTTCTCCAGAGTCCCGGACTGTTCCAGAGACTTCCTTTTCTGTGCCGAGCAGGGAAAATAGAAAACTGCTCAGCGCACCTCTGTTTTCTCCTCTCTAATGTATTTTGAACTCTGTCTCCAGGCTTTGGACAACGTCCCTGTCCTCTTGTACATCTTGGCACTGAAGACACTGCTGCTGTGTTTGGCGTTCGCCGGGGTGAAGATTTACCAGAGTAAGAAAGCAGAGGAGGCCCTGAAGAAGGAGCAGGCAAAGAAGAGGAGGCTGGCCCAGCAGACACAAGAGCTCATTGACAACCTGAAAGAGGACTGAACAGAGGAGGGGAGGCGACTGTGCACAGGTACCTCATCAGGAAATACTCATTAGAGTGTTGGGGCTACAGGGAGGCTTCGATCAGGCTTTGTGATCGTGGGTATAATGTAGAAACATAGGGCCATGCCGAGAGTGATGTCGTGACCTTTACAGGCATTCACATGTAAAATTGCAATTCCATTTTTGTAAAGAAATACACGTCTAACGCCGCTGTGGACACCTGGTGGCTCTGATGGGGAGTAGAAAACGGTGTTGAAGTTGTTATAACTGGCTATGTTTCAAACTATCATGAATTCTGAATCTGTATTTCTCCACTGAGCCTCCGGTCTTGGTTTGCACTTTTCTCCTGAGCACAGCGTACGTCCTTGAACACAACACGGTTGGTTAGAACTGGTTCACATACTGGGAGACAGCAGACACTCCTCTGTTCTATCAGTTACTTTAGATACACGCCTTTTGGACAACACACACACACACACACACACACACACACACTTTGTATTCGATTCAAGCAGGTTCGGTTTACATTTCAGTGAACTTCCACATGAACAGTGGTTAGCGTGTCCACGTCTCAGTAACTGGACAATTAACCTTGTTTGCGTACAAGTCCAGCCTCGGTATAAGGCAGGCCCAGCCCAACGAGATAAATGTGAATCATTTCCGGATATCAGGGCTCCTCCTGATGGAGATCTCGTGAGAGCTCTGTCACTCTGAGCCCAGCGCTGCCTCACTTTACCTGTGACCTGAATCAAGTCAACATCTGTGAACTGAAGATTTCTCCGGTTTGTTCTTGGGCTTCCAACTAAAGAATCGGGTTAACAAAGTGCATTTATTTCCCCCTATATGTATTTATTGAGCTGGGTGGAGCTGAGGAACAACATTCATTCCTCATAAAGTCACTGAAGAAGACAGAGAGGTGATAAATTCGGGTATTTGCTCCAGTGGATGACGCCAGTCTGAGCTAAGACTTGTCAGCAGCACCCATTCTCCAAAAATCTCTCTTAATGATAGAAGTTCAGTGATTATGACACATGTGGACTCTAAAAATGCTGTAAACATTGATTCTGGGTTTTTACATTTTTAAAAAAATTTTTTAAAGAAGAAAAAGATTTACATTTTTAGTAATTTCTGACAAATAAAACCGTCACACTGCACAGAAGACATTTCTTAGTTCTAGTCACGGTTGTGCGTTTTTGATAGAGGTGCAGGACTGTTCATGTGACACAAGACAGAAAGCTCTCACAAATTGCTTGGAGTGAAGAAGGTTAATGTCAAAAAGGATTATACATGTACGAGATGTTTCAGGACTGGTTTCACTAAAGATATATTTCAAACCCAAACTACCAGTTTTCCCCGTCAGACCATCAACCAGCTCGTCTACAGAGGTCCTGCAGCGTTTGCTTCATTCAGAGAAGAGGCAGAGTTGTGTCATGACCAGTGGAGGCTGCTTCACCATGACAACCTGCTCACAGCGCCCTGAGCATCCCACAGCTCCTGCTGAGAAGAACATCTCCTCCCTCTCACCCCACCTGGCTCCGTGGGATTGTTTCCTCTTCCCCAAACTCAAGGGCTCATCAAGGAGACCCGTTTAGAAGAGGTGGACGACATCAAGATGGCTGTGAGGACGGAGCTGAGAGGATCCTGGAGAATCCTTCCAGGAGTGCATGGCGGCGTGAAGAGAAGGCTGGAGGAGGGTGGTAGACTCCAGGGGGATTACTGGGAAGGAGGAAAACTGGTAGTTTGGATTTGAAATCTATCTTTTGTGACACCAGTCCTGGAATTTTTGTGACACACCTCGTATATCGGTGGATTAGACTCCGTTGTTCAAATAAGAGGGACTGTGATCTCACAATGCTTCTTCTCTCTTCTTCAAGGACACGTTACATGTAGCGCAGCTACAAACCACGTTCTCCAGATATGAGCAGGATTCCTGACAGTCAGCAGCAGATGAACTCTTCTGTGCTTCAGAACATTGGCTCCAGTACCCAGACTGTTGTAGTTTTCTCCATCTTGTGGGAATGTTTGACTGAACCAGGCTTTTCTAAGGTGAACGCACGCAGACTCCCAAAACTGAGGATGAGATGAGGTACTTTTTAAAATCTTTTAAACAGAAATGACTTGAGTGAGTAAAACCCCACATGTTCAGCATCATGTTGTCATTTGCCAAACATCTGCTCCGCTGTCAGCTCCACTTCCCAAACATCATCTGCCTTGTTCACACTTGTATCTTCAGCAAAGGTTCAGACTCTGTGGAAATGAGTCCAACACTTGAATGAGCTTTACTTTGTACACCAGGTAGAAGTTTGTCAAATCTGCTTGTTTATATGAACACAACATGGCATTTGTTCTGTAAGATTCCTTGTAAATTGTGAAGAAGCTTTGTGCCTACTTTTTGTAATAATTAAACGGTTTGTTCCACATGTGACATGTTGCCAGTCCTTTATTTCTCTGACTGACTGTGCAGAAAGTCACACACCCACATCTTTAATAGCACTTACATCTGGCCTGCACATGAACGTATAATATCGAGGGAAGAGGAAAGAAGCACATTGTAAAATCCTGCACATGAGTGATCCTGTTCTGTTTCACATGGAAACAAGTTAGGAGTCAGATAAAGAAACAAGGATGAAAGCAGCTCAGACAGCAGCTCCTACATCAACACTGACCGCAAGGCAAACAGGAGGAACCATCAGTAACAGGGAGATGCATTATCATTTGGACATAAAAATGACTTTTTCTTTCAATTATTTTTTTCCTATAATTTGTACTGAATAAAGTTTTTTAGGAAACACTCTGCTTGTGCTGCTCTCACATTTTGTTTGAACCTTTACATTGATCCTGTAACTCTGAATTGCTGATGACAAGAATACATTTTGGTCCAGGTAAAATACATGTCCACATTTGGGTTTCTTTCTCTTGAACTTCCCCAAAGGGATGAATGAAGTGTCTGTCTCTTAAAAAGATGAACACTTTTTCCTATAATTCGCCCACTTGTGCTGTTCTTACATTCCTACAATGATCCTGTGTCTGTGAGTTGTTGACCAGAGGATGTAAAATTAGCATTGACAGTCTGCACATGTGGATGTGTGACAGCAGGAGGAAAAAAAAGAGACATAAAGTGGACGTAGAAACACAAAGAAGAGCAGCAGGTTGTGCAGATAAAAAGCTTACAGCACCTGGTATTCCCAGGCAGTCTCCTATCCAAGTACTAACCAGGCCCAACCCTGCAGGGATCAGACATATTCAGGCTGGTATGGCCGTAAGCAAGTCCACATGTGACCCACTGCAATGCTAGCTCTTAGCTTGTTAGCTTAGCTCTTAGCTTGTTAGCTTAGCTCTGTAGGAAAGCCACAGCGCGAGCCCAACTCTGTGTCAGTGGTAATTAATTATAGCGAGAACATTAATTAAACTCCAGGTGACGATGAAAGCATGTAGACATGATCAGTTTGTGAGTGTGTTCAGATCTTCTGGTCACGTTCATGTGGACATAAAACCAGTCAGATGATGGTGATGAGTGTGTATGAAACGTCTGATGGATGTGGAGCCTGTTGCTTATGGCCACAGCAGCCTGAATACGTCTGATCTTGGAAATAAAGCAGGGTTGGGCCTGGTCAGGACTTGGATGGGAGGCTGCCTGGGAACACCAGGTGCTGTAAGCTTTTTATCTGCAGAGGACGCTGCTGCTGCTCCTTCACTGGAAACAGCCTTGGAAAATCAGAGGAGGAAATATGATTAACATATGAAGACAAAATAGAGAACTAACCACTGGAAGCAGCAGCTACAATCAGTGATTTTATACACTGTTGGCTGATTTCATCTATAAGATATCAGACAGATGTAGTGGAGTCAAAGTAAAACACCATCAGACTGAATGACTGAGGCAAGTTCTCAAGAATAAGGACATTCAACTTTTACTTAAAAACAGAAACTGCACAATGATGTGGAGGCTCCAGAGACTCAAAGTGGGGCGCTTGCTCCGGATGAAGTGGAAGGAAATGGATGGACGGAACCAACGACATGGACGAACCTCGTCCTAGAACTTTGACCTGAACAAAGAACATTTTCATGAATCTGAGGTCGAGTCCTGCTGCTTTGGGAAAAGGACACAAACTGGTTTAAAGCACAGAGACACGCAAAAAGAAGAAATCTGTTTCCTGCTCCGACAGCAGTGACGTCAGGCTCCTACCTGTTCTCCAGGTGAGTTGAGCTTTACCTTGTGAGTAGGTGTGTCGCCGCTGCTTTTCTCCGTCTGAAGGTGAGTAAACGACACTTTAAACTCTTTTCTAGCTGCTGTCAGTTTGGTTCCAGCAGAAGCAGCAGAACCGAGGCTCCACAGCTCCGTGTTCGCTCCTTCCTGGGACACTAAAGTTGTCCGTTAGCGGCTAAAACCTCCGAATGTGTGTGAACTTTGAGGAGAAACGTCCCCAAACTGGTGCAGTTCGGATGTCTTCAGTTGTACAGCACAGTTATCGTTAAGCTGCCACCGTGTGAGAAGAAAACTATGTTTTAACTCGTCATTAAACGCTGTGAACCGCCACATTCAGCCAAAGGCAGCCCGCTACAATGCTAGCTCTTAGCTTGTTAGCTTAGCTCTTAGCTTGTTAGCTTAGCTCTGTAGGAAAGCCACAGCGCGAGCCCAACTCTGTGTCGGCGGTAATTAATTATAGCGAGAAGATTAATTAAAGTCCAGAAGATGATGAAAGCATGTAGACATGATCAGTTTGTGAGTGTGTGTCAGTCACTGTCTATCAGGATGGGTCATGTTGATCCATACTGAACTAAAAAGTGAACTATGTCCAGTTCATCAGATATATCAGTTAATGAGCACTAATGAAACACATCTTGATGGGGGTCAGAGGAGTCCTTTGGTTTCTTTGTGGGTGTTGTTGCTGTTTGATTACTGTTGTGTACCATATTTTGACACATCCTTTTTCTGCTGTACTTGTACCGTGGTCAGTGAGAGTCATGTGACTAACTGGCGTGTATTATTTTCGTGTAAACGCACACGTAGTTCGGCGGGTTAGATCACCATGATATCAATCCGCTCAAATCAGCTGGCGCGGATCAGCTGTGTCTTGACATGTGAATGAGAGAAACGCCATAAAACATGGATTTCGAGGTTAATTTCAGTATTTTTGGCCGAAACAAAACGTATGAAGTGTAGGAAGAGGAGGAGAGCAAACGAGAAGATCAGCAAAAGCAACGACATGGAGACTTCCAGCATGGTCAGCAGAGCTCCACGGCTCACTGGCGTGCAGCGTGTGCATAAAATAGTCCCAAAAACGTAGGCGTTATCAGCAAGCTCTGTGAATTAAATAAATACTTAGTGTGTTTGCTCGCTGTGTGGGACCATGGTATAAGAGAGAGATGAAAAATCAAATCAAAACCATCTGTTCACACAAAATCATCTGATTCCACATTATTTACTGTTTTTATAGATTATACATAAATTATGACTTTTTACTGTGATTTGACTGAAACCTGTTCAACAATCAATCCTTAATATTCAGAACGTTTCTATCAAATAACATCAAATATCAGCAAAACAATTCATGATTTTCTTTTTTCCAGTGAACATGTGAATGAAAACGTTCTTTCTGTGTTCTCAGTAGAT